AAATGTTGGCAGTTTTCACATAAAAAACCAAAATGTCAAAAACAGTCCTAGTTTTACGCGAATTTTATTGCCCCATCCACAATTTGACCTTTTCCAAAGATTAACACTGTTAAAAAATAATGACAAAGACTGTGTTTTCCATCATTTCAGGTGCTTAACCAGCGAAGAACCAGTGAGAATGAAAGAGGATCATGCCGTCTACCAATGCTGTGATTCGTAAGTATTGGCCCACATTAACTTTAGCTTTGTTACTTTGCTTTCTTGATTTCCGCAGGTATTTAGCAAATATTCTCACGTTTTTTAGACAAAAAGGGCTTATTCCGCAGCTGCGTTAGCAACCCATTTACGGTAATAAGCAGACAAATTCGAATTTTGCCAGTTTTTATGGTAACAAAACCCAAAATACCCCCTAACGACAATGTTAATAGATTAGCCGCTAATCTATATGGCATTGTTTTCTAGCTTTAGTTTTGTTATATCGATGATACTTTAATACATGTTTTGAAAGGCTGTAGTAAAACTTGCCTGGATTAATCCTTGGGTCTATTAGCAATAAAATAGATCCAGCGATTGATTTGTACTCACTGCGCTGATTAGTTGGGCGTTTAGAATGTCCAGGTAATGAAGCAAGGTGGGGAGGCAAATAGATTTGCATTTGCAGGTTCCTCAATGTGATTGTCTATGTTGATTTTTAGCCTAATTAAATTGCACCCTTTATGTAGAAACTATACTCATTAATTCTTTTCTTTTATCAGAAATTTAAACTTTTCCACTGCAACTTGCAGTGAAGATGATTGTGAATACGGCCCATACAAGAAAAGTAGTAAAGTGGCACGGGTAAGTATCACGACATCCAGGATGAAACTATTTTAGGAAGTACAAAAACAAACGTCGCTTACAAGGTCTAACGGGTGTTAAGAGAAAAATGAACCATTCCAGTCACATGTATTCCTAGCTATGTATTTTACTTGCTAATGACCATATAAGTAAAACATTTACCCTCTGACAGCACGGTTCCTCTAAGGCTTAAAGTCTGGCCGGGTGTGACGAAGCAAATTCCCCCATGAGGAGGTCAGAGAACGGACGAAACGGTGTGTGATCTCGATCTCCATGAGGTGCCCGTCCAATGTTTCGAAGTAAAATGGCACCTTAACTGGGTGCGCTGATCCTAAGTTATGTTAGCTAATTTTGTATTCATAAGTATATACATAGTATTTGCAAATACATTTTTCCAAGACACTGTTTACTGGATTGTTTTGATACCACTATGTGTGATCGTTTATATGTTAGCAGTGCAGAGGGCTTCTCTATGGGACTTCCTGTTGAACGCTACAGTCTCCTTTGGTGCGCTCTAAATGAACCACGGCCGTTTTTCAAACCAACCCTCTATACGCTTCAATCTTCACTTCTCTTTTTCATTTAGGCGCATCAAGCGACTCGGTAGAAACCCGCATGGAGTTCCATTTGGGGAAAATTTTCGCGTTTTTGCCTCTACAGCGCCCTTTGACTGCAGGTAAGAGTTCAAGGGCGTTATAGGGCTCGATAGCTCTAAGAAAACTTAGGTGGAAACAGCGGATGACATCGGTAAACTTGGCAGAAAATGCTTTTACTATCAAACCAAAGTGGGTTGCGCAGCTAGGAAAACACCTCGATTTCTGTAGACTTCAGTTAGCCTTAACGGCATCTAACATTTCTGCTCTTTCATTGTTAACACCCACGAAATCGAACAAAAAATCCCCCCTTCAAGTTAGACCATTGGGTTTCATTAAATCAGAGTTTTTGTGCATTTTAAGCGAGTACACGTTTCAGATAACTTCTTTTCTTTTTCATCCTTCATCAGCTTGAATCGCATGCGGCATTCTACATCGTGTCCTTTTTCCTTTATAGCAAGATCCCATGTCGCATCGCATAATCGAGAAAAGGAGAAGAGACCGCATGAACAACTGCCTGGCCGATCTATCGCGCCTGATCCCGATGGAGTATTTGAAAAAGGGGCGCGGCCGCATCGAGAAAACCGAAATTATCGAAATGGCCATCAAACACATGAAACATCTTCAATCGCAAGACAGAAGTGGCAGTTCCATCGAGCACTACAGGTACAAAAAATCCCCATTTACAGGAAATTGTAAAATCATTCCATTGATTCTCGTCGGTCGCGCAGAGTTCTTCAAATTTGATCTCTAGAGTTTTTTTGATAGAACCTACCGTTTTCCAGATAATCGCCCTTGACTAATCACGTGTAGGCTCGTTGCTAAGCAAAAACACAGTGGGCTATGACTGCAACTGCCTGTCAAACTAAGTTGACAGGAACGGAAACGTCAAAACGCGCAGGCGTAGCCTTCTATGTTTAGTCCCTGGCTGCAACATTAAAGCCCGTGTCTCATGCATTCGTTTGTACGATGATACGATGATACGAAAGTGTTTCTATTGGTTGGAGATCTGTCAATTCGTCCGCCGTCTTACGAACGGAGGCCGAATTGACAGATCTCCAACCAATAGAAACACT